AACTGGTTTGTTCGAGCAACAGGATCATCAGCAAATAACCCATGGCCGGAGCCTAGCCGCGAACAGCTGTGTCACTCAGTGCGCAAGAGAGCGGCTGCCCTAGGGCTCCCCAAGACCATTGTGCACGAAATAATGAAGTATTTTGAACTGCACACTTTTAAAATTCAGATTTGCAGCCTAATGATTACGAATTTCCTAAAAATATCCGTGAGACGTTACAGCGATTTCGTACAGTAAACACCGTCTTTTGGAGTGGCGAAGCCCACTTTCATTTAAGTGGATGCGTAAATAAGTAAAATTGCCGTTATTGGTCGCCTAAAGGTCAGAACCTACGTTTGAAGCATCAGCAGCCACTTCACAGTCCCAAAGTAACGGTTTTTATCCGGTAATGGAATAATCGGGCCCTATTTTTTCGACAATTGTTGAGAGCAAGCAATAAGTGTGAACGGTGTTTCTTATCGGCACATGTTGAACGATTATTTTCTGCCATTATTAAGAGAACATCCTGCATTTAGTTAGCATACATGGTTTCAACAAGATGGCACCACACATCACACTGTTAGAGATACCATGGAGCATCTTCGAGATTTATTCCCTAACAAACTGATAAGTCGTTTTGGTGACATAAGCTGGCCACCTAGGTCACCCGATCTTACCACCATGGACTTTTCTGTGGGGGATCTGAAAACTAAAGTCTATGGAACAAATCCAGCGACCATCTTAACTTTTAAAGAAAATATGGTCCGCGAGGTTAATGCTATCCCACAACCACTTCTGCACCAAGTGGCACGAAATACTGAGGCGAGATTTCAAGAGTGTGCCCGATGTAATGGTCGACATTTAGATAACATGATTTTTAAGAAATAAAACCCGCAGTATTCTGATTTATAATAATTATTGAAATAAATGTTTACTTTTTGTAGTTTTTTTTTTTTTGGTTTATTTAATTTTTAAATCCGAATTCTGCCACCGGACACCCTTTATATAGCTGATGTTCACTGACGAAGTGTCGATTCTGGTCATAGAGGCAGTTCATGATACTTTGATAAATGTCTCAGCGATTTGGGTCAGACAATGACAGTAGCCATGTATTGGAAGTTTGTGTGCCTATTGACGGCTGGAATTCGGGAGTTTGCTGATAAGACGTTTAACCTTGTACTACCAATCTCAAATAATTGACTGATTTTTCAGAGACGTGCCAGTGAATGACGTGATTATCTCAGAGGATGGCTCCACAAGCACCAGCGGCAAGAAGGAGGGAGGCAAGAAAGAAGACTGCATCAAACCCGTAGAGCATAAGGGCCAAGGGGATGCTCCTTGCCACGTTACCGAAACGGCCGCGGCGTCCAACTAAGCGGTCAATGAGAAAAAGATAAATTCCAGTCAAGTATTAGGACGCATATCACTGAGTTGTATGCGTATATATTAGTGATGTGTGCAAGACGTTCAGTGCAAACTTACTTTAGTTTATGTTAGGGATTTCTGTAATCTGTATATACATGAGGTAATGAGGAGCGGATTGAAGTTAGTTTTGCAATTAGATTTTAGAAAATGTCTTTTTCAGACATCTCCCATGTGCAGTTTTGATTCAAATCACACACACATACTGTTTGCATGCTGGGCCAGCTTAATGTATTATAGTACTCTTGGCTGTCCACTCTACAGCCCCTACGCAATTTGTTTGTCGCACATTTTATATTTTTCATTTACTAAGATAATGTAAACTTCAGATTTAAACAGAACCACATAGAAAATACAAACCATATCTTGTCGAGACTTGTTTGACCGCAGTTTATGTTACTGCAACATTTTAACATCACAATCACAGTTATAAAGACAAGAGTCGATATATAAATCTTGATGAAAGAATCAATGTGATTAGTTAGGCTCTTATGATTATGACTGGGGTGACATTGTGCAGGCGCATGTCAGCTAAGTACAGATTCTCAGTACAACTCTTTATGGTGCACTTTTCTCGTGGAGAATTCCATCAATTTCTACATTTTTCAAGAGGTTTTCCATGTGAATTGGCCAGTACCTTTAACAGGAGTTGAATACATGGTTATTCGCCAAAGAAACAGTTAAGAGAAAAAAATAACTAGATGCATCTTTGAGTAGGAGCTGTTTGACATTTGATTCACTATAAATAAACTGCAAATGCAGCTAAATTCTCTGAATAGTCTACAGCATTTGTCAGTTATGTAGTTACCTACATATTACCAATATCTGTTGTGTTTTAGATACACTATTCACATATCTATAGCTAATATTTTATGAATAAACGTATCTTTTGGATCCACAAAATATTAATCACAATATTTTGTATGTAATTTCCACAGTTGTTGCTTCAACTTGACTAATTTCCATCCGCTTCCAAATGAGACGATATATGAAATGATTCGGGGGCGGTCAAAGACGTGAGTGGTGATAAGTGCAAGTACTTTTCGACCAGCCCCCAAGAATATATACAAGACGTGCTAGCTAGTGACCGATTTTTATCTCTCGTTAGCTCGACAACGATAATCCCAAAATAGTTCAGTAGATTATAGATGTACTGGAGGAGATTCCCATAGCTGTTACTTTTAGAAAAGGTATTATGCGTGAAATATGCCAGCACACGTTCGACTTATACCCACTGGGTTGAGGAACTGTTTTTTTTTCTATTAAAAAACTTAAGCTTAGGGATGTGCTCTTTGCTTTTTGGTAGAAAAAGGCATTGCTGCTAAACAGTCATGTTTTTTTAACCAAGCCGTTGAGCCCTGTTTACCATCCATAGTATCAATTTGTCATATAAACTAAGAACCAATTTTGCTGAAAGCTATATTTAAGTCACACTTCTTTACTGGATAATATGACAGCCTTTGGGATTTTCTTCAGTATTTGGTGAACTGTATCTGGTTTTACTGAACTAGAAAAGCAGTGTTGGTGCCGGAAATGAAAGTATGCTCCCCTTTAGGTTAGGTTTACTACAGGGTCGGACGGATCGACACTGCTTCATGTAGCTGTGTTCAGCTGACTGATTGTTTGAGAGCATATTGTATATTTTTCTATGTTTGTTACAACTGTTATAATTATATTATGACTGAAAAGAGGGCGCTATGAGCGCTGCTGTGATCATATTTATGGTATTTATAAAATAAAGTCGTTAGAGATCTGTTGATGGTGATGATTGAGAGCGATGTGTTTTCGCATCGCGGAAGATAAAGATGGTTATAGGATGGTTCGCTATATAATATATACATTCGAAGATCTTTCGATGTAATATTTCCAAATCTTCACTCAGTAAACCGAATCAGCCAACTTGCCTTTTTGTAATCGTAATGCCGTCTTCCTAGAAGTACCGTGAATCAAATTAGTGGACATTTGTACAATTGGCGTGTCTTTTAAGTAAAGGTTTTTTTAGCATCATTTAAACATTCTTGCTAAACATTTTTTTAAAATAACCGTCTGTGCGTTGAAAGCGCAAACCGACACTTGTCGTTTGAGGCCACTTCTGGCAGTGCTGCAATTATTTGCGCTGCAACTTGTTCTTTTAAAGCGGCGCCTTTAATTTCAATTTGTTTTCAAAGTATTCTTTAATGGTTCTTATCAATTTAATCAAATACAAGGTACATTTGTATTTGTAAATTTTATTGCAGTAATTTTTGCTGTTGCGAATGTTAGAAATTGGTGTTAGAAAATCCACATATTGATTTATGGTACTGCCAGGTATTCACAGCATATGTCTTCACTGTAGTGCAATTATTCATGTACTATTCAGTGCAAAAAATAATGCCCAATTTGAAAAATACACATTGTGTAAATATCCTTAACCTTGGTACATAATCTGAATCTTTTTTATTAAGGGTCATGTAATTTCGCTGACATCAGTTGTCAGGAAGTTAATAGAAAAAGTACAGATTTAAATCGAAACCAACAAATTGTAAATGTTCAGATTTGCGCTATTGCTCATAGGAGACAATATAGCTTTGAAGTCCACTGAACTTTATGGATATGTCTTAACGGAACGTTTGTCCACCAAACTTCAACTTTAAAGAAAAAGTATCAAATGAATTTATAATTTATAAGCATATGGTATCACATACTGATCAAAACAAAAAATATTACGAAAACAAATTTTCATAATTTTAAGTAGCTGTTTATTGCCGTATCTTACACGTAGTCCAAGAATTACAAATGAACTTAGCTCACCACGGGTAGAAATAGCAGTTTCTTCCTCAAATGGTTGAAATTGTAGTTGTTTGTTCATACAATGTATAATCTTTTATGTTGTCAAATTGTTGCTTTGTCATTTTTTTGGTGGTAATCTGTCAACATTCGCATGTATTTTTTCTTCCAATTTTTGTTTTAAGGAAGCTTATTTTTTTAGTTTATAAGCGAATGTATTTCTCTTTGCTTTTGGGAGGGTTTAAATATTTCTTTTCGCCCTGTTTAATATTTTTGAACTGTAACGTATTCAAATGAGAACCCTCTTATTTAAATAACCATTAAATAATCTTATATAATAGTATAATCTAATGCTTAAACATATTTAGAGATATTTGGAAATGTAGCACGTAAACATGTTTTCCTTATTTTCTTTTATTCTAATTCACTATATTGAAGGTATTTAACATTGTTATTTCTGATGTATATGTGTATTGGCTCTCAAGGTGAAAGGCCATCCAATATTATTAAAGAGAAATTATAGTTGGAGGAGAGGCAATCATAGTGGAACATTGAATTATTGCTTGGTGAAATGAAACTTCCGAAAATGTAGTGACGGTAACTATTCCTGTACTTTGGCAAAGGTAGTCGCAAACATATTTCTGAGCCGACATGGCAGTTGGAAAAATTTGCAGATAAGCTACAATTAGATATATTGTCTTTCTTATCAGGACTTTCAGCTTTACACCCTGTAATCCTAATGAGATATTTCAGCAGATAGTTATCTGTATACGATTTTTCGGATGCATCCGCAACAGAGTATGTTTAGTAAACAACTTTAGAGCAAAGAAAATGGGCCCTGGCGGGACTCGAACCCGCATTTCCATTCCGTGGAGCCAACCTAGCCAATTAGTCTACAGCTCCAGCTTCCAACCAACTTTCAGAATCTACTGTTAAATGCAAATGTAATCCTAACCACGCCACTGTTGCTTTGGTTTTCAAGCTGGTTCAAGTGATGCAAATCGGATTGGTGAGGTATCTCCAATCGCTTTCTAGTGTTTTGTGGACACACACCACAGTACCACCATGTGAGGGCAGTAACCTGTATATGATTTTTCGGTTGAGGGCACCCATAACAGCGACTATGTTTAGTAAACAACAACTTAATAGATAGGAAAATCCCAATGGCGCCCATTTTCCTATTTCTCAAGTTGTTTACTAAACATACACGCTTTGCGGATGCGCTCATTCGAAAAATCGTATAAAGGTTACTGCCCTTGCACGGTGGGATCATGGTGTATACGCACGAGGCGGCATGCTGCAACTAGAAAGCGATTGGAGATACCTTACCAATCCGGTTTGTTTCAGTTGAACGCCGCCAGATGGGGCATCAAGCAGCTTGAAGGAACAGTGGCGTGGGTATTATTTAATTTGCCTCTGGCAGCTGCAGCAGACTAACCGATTAGGTCGGAATGAAGGAGATGCGAGTTCGAATCCCGCTGGCTCCCTTTTTATCTGTCAAATTGTTTACTAAGCTATTTGTGTTCAGAAGGTGAAATAAGGCTTAACATTCAAATATTCCTGTATACGAAATTGTACAGTTTCACAAGAAAGATACTTCCTATATTTTCAACAGTTTCTTTTCACACGGTGCTAATAGTTTCATTAATGCCTCTTTATTATTCTTAATTAGAAATAGTTGTCGTGATTTTGGAAAACTTGGGACAATATTGCTCCTGTGAACGTAATTATTCATTATATACTTTTAATTTTTATTGAGCAATTTTCAGAAGATATAATCGCTTAATGCTGTTGTCTTGATGTTTATTCTGAAATCACCATGAATACAATATCACTCTTTCCTTGTAATTCATTATAAATGAACGAAAAATCTTTTAAATGGAAACAACTATTCAACTGTTAGGCAGTTTTTGAACATGGGCAAACGAAACATTTAAATTTTGTAAATGTTAGCTGGAATGATGGAAAGGTAACTGAAGGTATTTCTGTGCAGTTGAAAGAGTTTGTTTGATATATAATATACAATTGAACCATTTGTGCTTATTTTTTTTTCAGTAAGCTTTCCCCTACCCCACTTTCCATATAAAAGTTCCGATGAATGCGATCATTCGTTGTCTTTGGGAGTTGAGGTTACCAAGGACAACATTCGACATAAATGCGTCTTGTAAATTGTAGTAGCTGGTGCTAGGATGCTCTTGTGGGAGAGCAACTGATCATAGGAGGTAGGAGGATAATCTGACTAATTCGTGACCCTTCCTTAACAGGGATCCTCAGACATGTGTAACATCAACTGGTGGCTTGTGATTGACGGTATTCTCGTTAATCAAAACGATAAGGGCCGGGTTGCTAAGTCAACTAGACGTTGCTTTAGATGTGTCGGTGATATATTTTCTTAGCGCCTGGTCGCATACAAACATGTCTTATCCCTTTTCCATAGTTATTCCAAAGAAGTTCGTTAATTTCATCGAATCAGAATTGCGTTTTTTCGAGAAAGTAGTTGGGCTTTATAAAATATGAGGAGCAGACTTTCTAATCGCACACTGTCCATTTTGGACTTTTTACAGGAAAGGGGAAAAAGTGTCGCGAGCTTATTGCTAACATTTGGAAAACGAGTAACACATGAAAAAACGTAATTTAATATCAACAGCTTGCTATAGTAACAAGGCTAAGCAAATATTAATAGTTTACTAAAAAAATTCTTACTTTGAATAAAAAAAAGCCAGTCTGTTTGCCATAAATGAACACCAAATGATTTCAAACATAGAATTCTAAAGCAAACAGTTCTCTTTGAATTATATTACATGTTAGTCGTCTTTCGCCAGGCAGCAACATTCTTCATCATCTTCACTGTGGGCTTTGCTCCTTTCTTTCGTTGTCACCATGTCCCCATACTAATCTTTTACAATTGGGTCAAGCTCTGGATCTCTTACCCACTCTTGGCCTAATAAACTCTTTTAAAATGCAGATAAACTATCCAGTTTTTTCTTAAGAGCATGCTTGAGTGGTAATTCGGACAATACTATACCACTTAGTTTTTTCTTCAATTCAAATAAACTCGCAAATATCTTTGAGGGACCATCATTTCTGTATAAAAGTTCGGTCTGATACAAGATTTTATCTTCACCACTATTATTGTGTTTTTATGATTATTCTTTTGGCCTCGGAAATTCCTGCAATTCTTTCAAGTGAACCAGTCGCATTTTTAATATTGTGAAGGGTCCAATCAGAGCCAAGTTTTCGGACATGTTCCCTTTTCGAGTGAATTTCATATTTTTCTGGTATCTTTATAAAAGCATGAGACTGCAATTCCTGTCCAACTCGATCAGCAGGCATAAATGAGTGGCCACGAGCGGGAAGTCTAATTGTAATTGTTTCAATAGATGCTGCAGCATCATTAAACAGCCACATCAGTGCCAGCACCATTTATGTGAATTTTTAGACCCCCACATCCATCTGAAAATAATCTTGGATGTTCAACATTTGGATCAAAATCAGTATTTTTTAGGAAGTCAACTAAAGCGGAGCTTATTTCCACAACACCTTCCTGCTTCATGCTCGAGCCAAGTATAAACACTGGAGCTCATGTTCTAACTTAATCACAGAATAATATCTTTTGCGCTATCACTACATAACAGCATTCTCCTTTGACAGCTAATACCATTGTACTGCAGATAGCATTGACGGACAGACATTGACATTGTCCGTTATATTGTTATTTGATTGTCTCTTGCCATCGGACAAAGTCCGTTTAGTTTGTCTAAGATATTATTGGAAGTCAAATATCGACTGAAAATACTGCAATTGGAGTGTCTTTTAGTTTAGAATCTTATAGTAAGCAGTGCCATGAATCGAACGCCACCTTTAAGCAAAAATGTTAAAATATGGATAAAATGCGATTAGAAAGTCTGCTTCTCATATAATGTTTGCAATATTGTGTTGGAGCTAGTCCGTCCCTGGCCATCTAAACGCGTTAATTGGTTTTTCAGGAGGTGGGGGTGGGTATTTGTACGCTTCTAACCCCGGCAGTTGTGATGAATCTATTAGACATATTATTTTACAAATAAAGTTTGCCCTACATTTGCGCTTACGATTTACTGGTAGAACGATCGCAATATTTTTTCCGACATTTAAATACGTGTCGATAAGGATTTTAAAGAAAAAAATTCTCGAAAGCACTGAATAATGCAAAGCACCCTGTGAAAAGTATGATAAGACATTTATGTTTCGATATGAACGCATTTATTTTTAGCAGTTTATGCATTTGTTGAGAAATTGGTCCTATTTAAATAAATCGGATTTAGGAAATCCCCTTAGAAAGAAACTGAAATAATATAAATGTAAATATATTCACTTTTACATAGAAAAGATGTAATCCACCATCAAGGTCTGGTGGTAGCCATAATCTCATACAAATTAATGCTTCCAAAACGAGTGACGAACAAAAAGCGTCCTAGCGCTCATCCGGTTTCGATAGATGGCCGGGTTCTGCCAAAGGGCCGTTCATCGTCCAGATCACAGAGAACTTGATCTGGCACGACCACATCTTTTCAATAGCGGTAGCTGCTGGGAAGAAGTTAGGCTAGTATGACCTTCTCACTCTATACAAGGCCCAGATAAGACCTAGCCTCGAGTATTACTCTCACGTTTGTGGTTCTGCCGCCTCGACTCCATTATTTATGCTCGATGCTGTTCAGCGGAGGGCTGTCCGACTGATCGATGAATCCTCCTAACAGGCAGTCTCGGGACCCTTTCACACCGGCGGGTCGTAGGCGACCTAGCTCTCTTCTACCTCTACACCAACGAGCTTTGCTTCTTAAAGCTCTCTTCCATGATGCCTGCCAGACAGACCCGCCTAACTTTGGCCTCCCATCCTAACCGTGTCGAACTTGCATCCAGAACTGGCCAATAGGACCGCTCCTTTGTCCCGAGGGTGTCGTGATTCCCATTTCTACTAACCTTAGGCACTTCAAAAAGTCGGATTAACAAAATTTCTTTGGGATCCTTATAGAAGCCGCGGTAACCTGACATTTAGACTTCTGCCTGCGCGGCTGTTTCGGTATAAAAGATATTACCTGATCCAACTTCTGCCTTAGTCGAGTTAGGGATTTATTAATATCGATATTATTTTGTACAGTGGCCTCGGAGCTGCTGACGAAAAACGGAGAAAGTTGGACCATTTTGAGTGGTAGAAAAATTGCAGAAAACACGGAAGAGTACCTATCTCAATTGTTTGGAATAGTATATTTATACGCTTCTAACCCCATCAATTTTACTTAATAAGTGTAACTAATAGACATATATTTAACACATAAATTGTACCCCCCCCACATTTGCTTTCAAGACAGAATGTTAGAAATCTGTCTAATAATCGCGCTGAGCCGACATTGTGTTTCGCCAAATAAGCGCAACGAAGAAAGAAAACGAACTCGTCACATACTGGCTGCTACCGAGTTTTAGCATTGATTAATACATTTAGATAAAGCAAGTGTGATCAAATCGCAATGTTGCCAAATGGGGACTAGGGACTAATTGTATGGGCCTATTTGAATACCTTGATTCATTCAATTCCTTTGTGATAGATGTTCGTAGTTACCTTTTTCTTAGATGGGTAACCTGTGCAGAAAATAATCCTTTATAAACTTGTGACAGTGTGTTCCGTGGGAAGTGCAGATTCAGCCTAATTAACGCCAATTTTTTCCTATTCACCTGTATAACCTTGTACTTTTGTAACTGTATCGTACAAACACCCTGGCCTTTTGTGATTCGGACGAAAGAGGTGTATGCCCAGATTCGCCAGTAAACACGTATACCGGGTATTACATATTTTAAGAAGAAAACTTTTTATGAACGTATCCTAACGTCTTTTCCTTTGAGATATAGTGTGGTAGTTTTCAAAAATAAAT